AGAAAGAAAGAAAATATATATGTAAGAAAGACAAGTTCAATCAATACTTACTGCTATCTTTTGTGGCGAGGGAAAAAACCCTGTTTCTATAGGGGAAACCTGATGAACATTATTTACATATGAGGTTCCCGGATCCTAAGAGCGATCGAATAATAATAATAGTCAGTTACTGAGCTCCTGTTATATACTAGGTACTACACTAAGAATTTTACATACATTATTTAATTTGTATAACCCAACAACAAATGTTATTTCCATTCTGTTGGTGAAGAAATTAAAGTTTAGAAGGAGGGCACAGAGCATCCTATCCTGGTGATATATGTTATTTTCTGTGAAACTCTTACCCCTCCTCCAGGTCTTAAAGGAAAGGTAGTGTCATCTTGTAAACTTATATTTCACAAATATAAACTTGGGTATGAGAAATAGAAGGGATATGAGAAATACATTGTTTTCCTTGTAGAAAAAAAATTATTAGCTAGTATCTATTTCAATGTTAAATTCAGTAATTAGTTTAATACCCCCTAAAGTATTTGTGTTAATATACTTACTGTTGTTTTTAACAATCATTTTCAAGCTGTCAAAAAGGGCTCCTATGACATGGTATCAACTCTGATCAAACACAACACCAGTCTGGACCAGCCCTGTGTCAAGCGATGGTCAGCAATGCATGAAGCAGCCAAGCAAGGCCGAAAAGATATCATATCTCTACTGCTAAAACACGGAGGCAATGTCCACCTGAGAGATGGATTTGGAGTCACACCATTAGGCGTTGCTGCCGAATATGGTCACTGTGATGTGTTAGAACATCTGATCCACAAAGGTATGTGAAAAGGAGTTACACTTTCCTGACTTTTGTCCTGCCTCTCGAACTCTCCTTTTCTCCTCACTCTTCCTCCCCTGAATGTAACTAGGGGAGCTCCTTTTCCTCTGCTAAACGGAACTTGACATCAGATTTTCTCACCTGGTCCCTCGATAGACCCTTATTCTACAACTCAGCTAAGCCCTATGCATTGTGACCTGCACATTTACCAGCCCAGTTCTGATTGCTCTCGAGAAAGACAGTTCAATCTGCACATAGATGGCTCATCAGGGCCTCATGTTCATCTTCTCCTAAACTGAATTCCTCCTGTTTTTCCACTTTTCTGATGTAATTATTGCTCTTGACAGGATCAAAAGGTTGGGTTTATCTCTAATTCCTCCATCACCTGCTTTCCTAAATCCAATCAGTTGCAAACTCTTGTAGCGTTTCTCTTGTCCTCTCATTGCAATCCATCTGCCATCCTGATCAGGTCCCTCAATCCTCCCTGGACCAGTGCAAATACTTTCTAATCATTTTCTGGGTTTCTAGTCTCCCATCAGAGAATCACAGTACATACTGCAACTTGTCTTCCCTCCCTAAAGGACAGCTACAATAGTGTCAACTATCCAAAAAATAATCCCTACTGCATCATCTCAAATTGTTTTACCACGTTTATCCCTCACTGCTCCCATCTTGTATCCTACACTCCAGTCAAAATACACTAGCAATATTCCCAAACATACCTTACATTCCTTCTCTCTGGGTTTGGGTCAGGTCCTTGCCTTCATCTCTTCAGCACAATTCAAAGTCAATCTCTTGAGACACCTCCTCCCTAAATCCTTTCCTAATTCTTCCCACCAGATTGTGACATTGCCCTCCTTTAAACTCTCCAGGTGCTTTATACAACTACAGAACCATGAGTTAAGGAGACCTAACTCCTAAACTGGTTGAGCCACTACTCACTGTGAGTCCCTAGCCTTGTTCCTTCAATATCTGGTTCTCAGCGTCCTCATCCACAAACGAATGCTAGCACCACATGATCCCCAGTGATTCCCTATGGGAAAAAGACTAACATTTTTGAGGTCTCCCAATACAAGCACATTTAAGTATCAAATAAGCCCTGTGAAGTAAGCTGCATTAATCATTCACAGATGTGGAGATGGAGGTGCATGGAAGTAAACGGCTGGCCCCCAGCTCTCACCATAAGCAGCAGAGCCCCTGTCCCCTACATCATGTCTCCTTGTCTTAATGTCAGAGTCACTGGAATATCATACAGTTTGTGCTGTCTGATATTTTGTTTCATTTCCCCTCTAAGCTCCTTAGAGTAGTCACACTTATTCTTCTTGGGG